AGCCTAAATCTAAAGACATACTTCGTGTTCTTTGTTGTGCATTATCTTGCCTGAGTGGCAAAGAAGGTGCAGTTGAAAGTCGCTCAGCGCTCACGGCACAGATAGGTAAAACAGCCTATAAGCTTGAGTTGAATTTTATTGCGCGAAGCAAGGGACTAGCCTTCGCTACATTACGAAACCACTTACCGGAAAACATTGTGAACAGTGTTCATAGTCTAAGTTTCATTCGTGGGAAAATGGGATACGTGTTCGATCTGCCTTCAGAGCATGATGAATTTGTAAAGTCGACATTGCCAAATGATGCACAAGCTAAACTTTCGCTACTTTCTGAAATCCCAGAATTAGAAGAGGGAGAATCTTTCAATCAAGGTCGTTCGGGAAATTATGGATCCTGGCAGAGTCGATTTAACAGCGGCTCGAGACAGTCATTTAAACGTTCTTATAGTAATGATACTTTCAAAAGTTCATTCAGAAGTTCAAAGTCCTTTAAATTTGATAACAGTTGAATCTATGAAGGTCGATTCCTTGGAAACTGTTCAAGGAACTTATTCGAGACAAAGCGTCTGCGACTACATTGTTTGCTCCAGAAATGTGTTATTATTATTATTCACAAACATCTTATGGGTACATAAGTGTTGTGAAGAAACCATTTCGGGTTTCTTCAAAAATGCAATAATTCACAATTTTCAATAATGTTAGCATTACATTTGCCATGTTTGAGAAAGGAAGGAAAAATAAAATATTAATAATAGAATAGTAATAATAAATCAGGTTCTGCGTAATTGGTACGAATTTCAAATTGATTTTGAAGGAGGAAAGGAAGGAACTAAGGAAATAGAAATAAAGGAGTCGCGGAATACGTAAATATTTTAACGCAGAACAAGAATAAACAACTAAGTATGTATAGCAAAAACGATTAATAAAAATAAAATAAAACAGAATACATTAATAAGCAAATAACCTATTATTGCGGTAAGATATGACGTTAGAATAAGTGTTTGTGCGTGCAGTCATAGTTTTGGGTGATGCTATGAAAGTCTCAATTAAGTGCAAAAGATAATGAATGTGTATGAGGTGTATATGCATAGTGAAGATAAAACGAGTTTGATAAGTTGAATTCAACGTAACTCAAGTTATTGTCTTAATCCAAAGCTTCGTAATTTTAAGAATAATATTTATCTAGAAAGAGAAAAAGAAGAGAGAGAGAAAAGAAACGAACACATAGTGAAGGGGTCCAACCATGATCGTAATAGTGCAATGGTTATAAACTTTTGAGATAAACGAATAATTTAAAAAAAAATAATGATAACAACAATAGTGACAATAATAATAAACCTTTACTGCACTCGGATAAATATGTGTAGATTTATGTAACAGTATACAGAGTGAAACCGGGTATTAGTATAAACACTAGTGCAATAATAATAATTTAGAATGATTCTTTGATGTCACAATTAATTGCAAAGAATAATTTAAATATAAATTTCTATATGTTATATATATGTTGTGAAGATAAAAAGAAAAAAATCTGAGAATTTTTTTGTTTAAGTGTAACATAGGGTTTTTTTGTTTTTAGTTGTAGACTTTGAATGTTTGGGAATAAAATATGTTTAGAAGGACAAGAAGAAATGAAGAAAATATCTTATGTGTCGAGAGACCAATAATGATAATAATAACAGTAATAATTATAAATACGAACAAAAGCAGACTTCATATATTAAGATGAGTAAAAGTGAAATAGAATAGGCATGAAAAGTTTCAAAGGTTTCACTTTGCTTTTCAGTCATTTAGATAGATGACGGACCTTTTTAGTATATATCATGGTTAAGCACGTTGATATTCAATAGGTGACACAATCCACTTTCGGAAAGGGAATCATCAAGAAGACTTCGGAACCGGGTTATAGTTTCACTGCATCGGAGGTTCATCGGCAGTCTATTCCACATGGTTGAGTAGCGAATAACGAAAAAATTCTGGCGCAAATTTGTGTGGGTTTTTGGAATTACTAGAATATTTTCCTTATTGCGTAGATTGTGGGACGGTATCATAGAGTATGAAGGGGTAGATAGCGAAGACTAAGAAATACCGTTAAGAAGCCGGTAGAGAAAGATAAGGTTTAATTTGATACGCCTGATCCAGAGAGGTTCTAGTTTGAGTTGTTGACAACTTTGGTGATAGTCTTTGTTGTCAGAATAACCCAAAACAGCTTTGGTGAACCTTCTTTGAACACCTTCAATTTTAATCAGGTCATTATGCCTGCAATTACTGTAAACTAAAATACCATATTCAAGAATTGGTAAGATACATTTTCTGTATAATAATAATCTCGATTCGGTATTATTGAAATTAATCATTATGAATCCGATTACTTTCTAGCTTTGAATGCTTGAGATGCAATGTGTTCAGAAAAGTTCAAACTGTCGCTATATCTTAAACCCAAGTCACGAACAGTGTTGAGAGGTTTCTGAAGTAAACTGTGAAATGTAGTGCAGTTGTCGAGACTCTTGGGGTGAGTACTTATCTGAGGATGAGCTTAAAGAGAAGGTAAGAGGTTTATGATCGGTAAAAAGTGTGAATTTTCTTCCTCCGATGGAATGTTGGAAATGCCGTACAGCACAATACATAGCTAGGAGTTCCCTACCGAAAGTGCTGTATCTAGATTCAGTGTCTAGCAACTGTCTCGACAGAAGTCTCAAAGATTGCCAAGAGTTGTTAAACCATTGTTGTAAGACCCCTCCGATTGCTGAGTCGGATGCGTCTACTGCGATACTAATGGGCGCTTGAGTATCCTGATGTGCGAGCAGGGTTACCTTAGCGATATGTTTCTTAACTGTGGAGAATGTTTTTCGCGCTGTGTCGTCTAGATTAATTGATTTTGCATTTCCACAAAGTTTGTCGGTCAATGATTTCATAAGGGATACGCATTTCGGTATGAACCGTCTATAGAAACTTACAAGGCCGTTCAAAGTGCGCGACTGCTTAATCGTGGTCGGTTCTGGGTAATCCAGAATGGCCGCCACTTTGCTTCTAAGGAGTAGGATGCCTTGGACATCAATAGTGTGTCCTAAGAAGTCTAGGGAGTTTGTTCCGATTTGGCATTTCTGAATGTTGACAGTAATGTCATGTATTTGGAGTCGTTCGAACACAATATCCAGATGTTGAGGATGAGATTCTCTGTCTGGACTTGCCATCAGGCAGTCATCAACATGCGCATGTACGAAGTTCAGATCTCGGACGTCATTTATGAACATTTGGAAGGTTTGAGCAGTATTTCTTGGGCCGAAAGGTATTCGTAAAAATTCATAGAGTCCGAAAGGAGTTATAATGGCGGTTTTCGGAATGTCGTAAGCAGCCATAGAGATTTGGTTATAAGCTTTAACCAAGTCGATTTTCGAAAAGGCAGTTGTACCTTTCAAGGTAGCTGTCAAATCGTGAATGTAGGGCAACGGATAATCATCGGGATTGGTTTTAGCACTCAGACGCCGATAATCACCAGTTGGACGCCAATCATTACTGTCCTTTTTAGGGACCATGTGCAAGGGAGATGACCAAGAGCTGTTTGACGGTCGAATTGTTCCTAAGTCTATCATGTGGTGGAATTCGTTTTTAGCTAAGCTAAGCTTTTCAGGAGCGAGTCGGCGTGCTTTTGAGAAAACAGATGGTCCTGTAGTCGAGATGTGATGTGTAACATTGCTGGTTAAACACGGCGATTTCAGTTTTGTTTGATATGTCCTAGAGTATTTATCGAGTAATGGTTGATATAAGAGGTCTATGGTGTGCTTAATTGTGACTAGGGATAGTCTGCAACCGGAAAAAGGGGTTACACAGACAGATAACTTAGTGTTTCCGTCAATCAACCTTCATTTGCGTGTTTCAATGAGTAGATTGTGGTATTGTAACAGGTCTATACCAATGATTGGCATAGAAACATCTGCGGCCACAAAAATTCAGTGAATGTGTTTGCGCAAACATACGTTAAGGTAGACGTACCTTTTACCATACGTAGCAATCGGTTTTCCGTTTGCCACCTGTAAGCTTAAAACAGAATCGTGAAGCCTGTCATTAGCATTAGCAGGAAGAACGCTAACTTCTGCGCCAGTTTCGACGAGGTAGCGAACTTTCGTTGTCACATCCGTGACGTATAAAATGCAGCTATGTTCGCTGGCTGCGGTTGCCGTTAACGCGTACCCGCTGTGAAGTTTACCGAGTTCTTATTCCTGTCACTCGACTTAGAGTTCGGGTAGTTGCAGAGTTTTCTGCAATTTCTAGAAGACTTGCCATACTGGTTATGATACCAGCACCAGTCGGGGTTGTCTGTCTCACGTGGTCTAGAGACAGATCGCCTACGTGAAACACTTATTAGCGGGGTTCTTGACCGACTACGGTCATTACGAAATCGAAGATATCGTGTGAGTGTATGACAATTCTGTAATGTCATTTGGGGTTGTTTGGGGTTTTTCTTTGACTTGCGTCAGCATCCAATGTCGAACACTTAATAAGTTATTGATTTTGAGGAATTATTTACAGCCACAGACTAATCTAAGCTTGTTAGTGGTGGTAGAAGATGTGAAGCAAGGCGTACCCACTCGTGATCTGGTGCTGATGCGTGACCAAGCGCCTTTAGATAGGTGGGTCCATTAAATATGATGCTGTCGGCGTCAAGTGTCGAAAACTTACAGAACTATTTAATTGGGTGTTTTATTTACCACTACACGAACGCCATGAGTAATAAGTATTTTGTCAATACTTATTAATCACCAGGTATCCATTATAAATTTAGAGAGGGGAATTTTCTTTACATTTTTCAAAGGTAAGTAAAAGCCATTTTACCATCTTTTATTATTACCGAAGGTCGGTGAACATTGAACGACAACTTTATTTCAAGACTTCTAAGAAAGAAATAACGGGAAACTAACTCATTTTATTGATTCCGTAGCTTTGAAACGTAAAGCGAAAAGCCAGTTATGTGATTAGTTTTACATTGCAAGTCATCCTAAGATGTTGTTTAAATTCATACATGTGAACTTAGTCGCGTAGTCTTAATACGGATCAGCCACATGGATTCTTTCGATGCTTATGGTCCGAATTCGCAAGCCTTAACGTTCTTCGACCCTGAAGAGAATGATTTAATTGGAGGAGATACACAGGGGCCTGACTATGATTGTTCTGATTTCACTCTGCCTTCACAGTCTCAAACACAAGCATCCCAGCTTGACCCTGATAAAAATTGCTTTTCTCAACAGGTATGTTGGAACGCTAGTTAGTCTTACATGTTATCAGCATGATGGGAACAATACCATTGATGTACTGTCTCAACGTGTTGCTGACTTGGATTTCAAAGACGAAGACCAAGATGACTCTAGTGTCGATTTACCAGAGCACGCATGTGCTTATTGTGGTATTCATGACCCTGCTTGTGTAGTTTTTTGTAACACCACAAAAAAGTGGTTTTGCAATGGCCGAGGTAACACTTCAGGGAGGTTAGTTGATTGCATATACTATTTCGTCCAGTCATATCATTAATCATCTTGTTAGAGCTCGTGCAAAAGAAGTAACTTTACACAAAGATGGACCTTTAAAAGATACACTTTTGGAATGCTATGTATGTGGGTCTAAAAATGTATTCCTTCTTGGTTTTGTGCCGGCGAAGTCTGAGTCTGTCGTCGTACTTCTGTGTCGTAACATCTGTGCTAATGCCAACAAAGACATGTACTGGGATCCTGCCCAGTGGCAACCGATAATTCAAGGACGCCAGTTTCTTGCTTGGCTTGTGAAAGTTCCAAGTGATGAACAGCAAGCGAAAGCTCGACAGATATCCGCTCAACAAATAAACCGACTGGAAGAAATATGGAAAGAAAATCCTCAGGCGGCAGTGGAGGATCTAGAAAAACCCGGTGCAGATAACGAAGTTAATCCAGTGTTGTTAAGGTAAGCTTTACCCCTTAGGTCTTTATCTCTTGAAGATATGAGAATTCACAGCAGTATCGAGATGTATTCATACCTTTAGTGGAATTAGAGGCTGACTACGATAAAAAGATCAAAGAATCACTCAAGTTGGAAAATGTTTCCGTTCGTTGGGAGACTGCCCTTAACAAACGCCGGGTGGCTTACTTCCGGATTCCTGGAGCTAATGAAGGTACATAAATTATTAATACTTCAAGTTTTACTTATAAATTACACATGGATTTTTATGTTCTCAGTCGTGTATATAGTTGTTTTTAAAAGACCACAAATAACACTACAGGCAGTTCAGTATTATACTAAAAATACATGGCAGCAAAGTTTTCGGGTCCGTACCGTGAATCGCTTTGAAATTGCTCTTATATCTAGACTTAATCTTTATGATTTCCAAGCATTTCGTGAAGCAAGGTTTATAGACTGAGGTGGATGCCCACTGTAATCTGTAGCCAACTTGCGTCATTTATGGCTTAGGTGTTTTTATTTATTTACTAAACACATACATTGGTACAAAAGGGCCGTGAGATATCCGTCAACCAAACAAAAGACATGTTTACTGCTCAGCAGTTCATTCCGTCCTATTTATGGTAGTGAAACATGGTCGGTAATAGTGAAGGATATTCGTAGGTTACTAGTATTCGATCGTAGGTGTCTTCAAAGCATTGCTCATATATCCTAGGACCACCGAGTAAGTAAAGCGGTTACTAGGAAACAGGTACCAGGTAAATATGGCAAATCTAATTTTTCTACTTATTAGAATGCTACAGATATATTCGAAATTATCAAAACTTGGTAAAAATACCTACAAGTTGATAGTGATTGTTCGATTGGTTCGTGTATGCATTCCTTGAGTTTTGTGTGTACTGATGAGTGATATTTGCGTATGATTTTAATATACATTCACCAATACATCGTATTACTTTTTAGGCCCAGAACTACGTATTATGCATGGGGATGAGCTGATCATTCGTCAATTTAACAGCCCGAACGACTATTTAGTTGGTGACGGTCATGTTATCAAAGTACCTGATAGTAAGTTTGCATCGTGTGATATACACGAACTTCATACAGGTGTATATACTATTTGCATGGACATTTTCTTTTGTGCCTAACCATACTTCAGATCTTATTCGAATTCTCTCTGATGCTATGCTTCAAGTTACTGAGGATGTTAATTTATGGTGTATGTAAATAAACTAATTATCAGGTGTTTTAATCCTTTGGCGGCACACTAAGATTGTAGCAATACAGAGAGGACTAGTATGGCTTCTGCTCAAGGATGACATGGGGAATTATGAAGCGTCTCTCGTATCGTTCTCAGTAGCGCAAGAGCATTCACTGTTTTCTCTTGGATCCTATGTTACCAAATACCTTACGAATTTTCTTGTTTTACTAACCCATATTTTCTCGAATCGTATCTTCGATGCTTATTTCTGTTTCCACTAATAATGTTACTACCTCTACTATGAAATTTACCCGGACAATGTTATCTCTATGCTAATCGGATATAACCACTTGAATTGATGTACGTATTTACCAGGTTCTACGTTGCGAAGACGAGATATCCGTCTATTAATTAAAGGACGAGTATACTGCGCATCAGTTCACTCTGTTCTACTTTACGGCTGAAACATGGCCATTAAGAGTAGAAGATACTCGTAGGTTACTAGTATTTGACCACAGATGCCTTAGAAATATTGCTCGCATCTGCTGGGATAACCGGGTAAGTAATAGTGAGGTTAGACGCAGGGTATAAGGGAACAATGGTAAATCAGTTGATGTGGTGATGAATCTTCATCGACTGAGATGGTTAGGCCATGTGTTACGTATGCCTAAACACCGATTACCACGACGCGCTATGATGACTAGTATTGGGGACGGTTGGAAAAGAGTTAGGGGCGACCAAACCAAAACGTGACATCAGTACTTGAAGTCACTAACTTCTAGTCTGAGTCATGTTGGTAGATGCAGACTACTTGGTTGGGGTCCATGTGACTATCATAACCAATGGTTAGAGACTCTAAGTGACATGGCTGAGAATTGATCGTAATGGCGTAGGTGTATACACTCTTTATCTTCCCTTAAACCTTGAGACTAAAATTGCTTCATATCTCTCTTCCTGTACTATATCCTTATATACAACCTATAATTTATATACTACTACCAACACTGAAATTAACTACTATAAACCCGTTGTTCATGTTGTTGTGCTAACGAGGTATTGCAACTTGGACCGATGCATATATGTGCCTGGTCCTACGTTGTAGCTGACTATCTGCATATTACTGGGTAACTAAATTCTGTCATTTTGTTGGTAACTTTTGAGCGTAAATTTCAGACAATCGAGTGACCTGAATATATTTGAATACCTTTTGAAAATGTCTCGCTTGTTTCAAGCTAATGCGATCAGTTTTTATTTAAAATGACATCAAACTCATTCTACCAGGCATCAAATTGATGTACAGTAGAGCACGTGTTTGCCACTAATGGCCATTTCCAAAATAATGTTGAGGTATTTATTTCATATCATCACCACTTGGTTCTGCTGCTGTCAAAAGGAAATTCTTATTGTTAACTAAATATCGGATCGAGCTAGATCTGAATACAGTCGCTAAAGTCAAATTGTGGATGAGCATGATTTCCTTTTGTAAGACTACGCTTCTCATTGCAGATCGAAAACGGTTCTTGTCTGTGAGTTTTGTCGTAGGTTATTACTATCTCACTACCTATTGGTAACTTTTGGGAGATAAAAGTCACAATAGCTCGCAAAAATTTTCTGGGGATTCTCGTAGGGTTTTCCAAAGTATATTTAGAAGTAAATCTTCACTTTTATTTGGCAGGTTTTGATGGCATTTATTTGTAGATGTGGATGTGGTATGGCTACTTGGACCGATTCTACTTTACGGTTGCTAAACGCGGCTATTAAGGGTAGAAGATATTCGTAAGTTACTTGTATTTGATGACAGATGCCTTAGAAATATTGCTCGCATCTGCTGGGATCACCGGGTAAGTGATGGTGAAGTTAGACGCCAGGGTATTAAGGAATGATGGTAAGCCGGATGATGAGGTTGTGAAGTTTCATCGACTGAGATGGTTAGGCCATGTGTTACGTATGCCTAAACACCGATTACCACGACGCGAAATGCCTACTAGTTTTCGAGAAGGCTAGGGACGACCAAGCCAAAATGTGGCATCAGTCTTTGAAGCCACTAACTTCTAGTCCTAGCCATGTTGGTAGATGCAGATTACCTGGTTAGGACCCACGTGACTATCGTAACAAATGGTTGGAGATTGGGTGACATGGTTCAGAATTGATCACAGTGGCGTACGTGTATACACTTTGTCTTCCCTTAAACCGTGAGATTAGAATAATTTTATACCTTTATTTCTACGAACTAATTCTTTATCTTTATGTGCAATCTTTTATATATTACTACCGTTGAAGTAACTACTATGAACTTGTTATCCAATTTGTTTTGCTAATGAGGTGCGACAACTTTGACAGATGCATATATGTACCTTGTCCTACGCTCTAGTTGACTGACTTAAACCGATGTACATACGTACCAGATCCCACATTATGACTGTCTGTGATATGGATGCTAGTATATTACGGTATTGAAGTCTTTTATCCAATGATTAAAAATTGGGCCTAGGTCACAGACCCTTTAATAGACTCATCTTCATTGTGATTGGTTTTCGTCATTTGAATTGTATTTCATTTCATTGTGCTATTCTGTCAAGACAGAAATATGGGGTTGATTTCGCTTATGTGCCTTTCATCTATAAATATTACCGGACAATATAGCTTTAAACATTTATTTGTGTATTTATAATTTTACTACAAGGTGACGTTTCATATTTACCCTTAGATTTCAGTGATGAAGTCGGTTTGGAAATGAAGCAAGTGATTGATACACCTCTAGAGCCTGTGACGTACAAAATCGAATTTAAATGGAAGTCAACTCCATTCGATAGAATGCGACGAGCGATCTCTGTAGTCACCGACGAACAACACGGTTTATTACCACCATACATATTCTATCGATTGCTTGGCCAAGAATTAGATGATATGGTGTTAAAATGCAACTTACCTAAACGCTATTCTGCACCAGACTTACCGGAGCTTAATCACAGCCAAGTTTTTGCCGTCAAAACAGTTCTCCAACGTCCACTTAGTCTAATACAGGGTCCGCCCGGAACAGGTAAAACTGTGACATCTGCATCAATAGTTTATCACTTGAACCAAATACATCAAAAAAAGGTATTGGTTGTAGCTCCTAGCAATACTGCAGTTGACCAGTTGTGCGAAAAGATTGACCGTACCGGATTAAAGGTTGTGCGCCTATGTGCAAGATCTAGAGAAGCTCTAGCATCTCCTGTCAGTCGTCTTATGCTACATATACAGGCTCAAAATGTAAAAGGTCATACTGAACTCCGAAAGTTACAACAATTAAAAGATGAGACTGGTGAACTTAGTCAGGATGATGATAAACGTTATCGGATTCTAAAACGGGAACTTGAACGTAAGTTACGAGTTTTCACAAAACTGTTTTGTACTAAATGTAAAATATAGAGGCTAGGAAATACTGATTATCACAATAAGTTCCACTTGTACACACGCTGATAAAATTGAAAAATAATTAATCATATTGACAACCCATTGTATGTATGTATGTATATTATTATCATTATCAAAAAGGGGATTTTGTGGAGATTGTAGTAATTTAATGATTAAATTCATGGGTCAATTGAAGCTAGACCCCTATGAAAAACCTGGAAGCACTGTGTGGCTGTTTCGTTCTATTATGGGACTCCTCAGCATTGCGCATCCACGACCTGCTATCATGATTTGAGCCCGTTGATTGCCAGCTCAGTGGTTTAAAAGTTAAGCTTTCTTGCGCGAGACCGATAGGTCGTGGGTTCGAATCCTGTCAGCGGGATCGTGGATGCACACTGCTGAGTCCCATAATATAATGAAACGGCCATCCAGCGCTTCCAGGTTTTCCATGGTGGTCTAACCGTAATCGATTCATGAATTCAACTATTAAAATATATATAATTATTGTTATTATTACAATTGTTATCCTTAACTGATTATTTTCTGTCAAAAAACGCATTGGTATTGTCTTTGGCGTTATGTAACCAAACGTCACTTTCTGTATTTGTCTAGTAAGTTTTCCGTTTTTTTCATTAGGGGAACTCCTTATGGCAGCTGATGTGGTTTGCTGCACATGTGTAACTGCTGGTGATGCGCGTCTGGAGCGCTTAAGCTTTCATTCAGTTTTAATTGACGAGTCTACTCAGGCTACTGAACCAGAGTGTCTAATACCATTAATGGTAGGCTGTCGCCAGGTTGTTCTAGTTGGTGATCATTGTCAATTGGGACCTGTAATTACGTGTAAAAAAGCTGCTAGCGCCGGACTAACTCAGAGTTTGTTTGAGCGATTTGTTCTACTGGGTATTCGACCTATACGTCTACAGGTACGTTAGATATTTTAAATCATACATTTTCGTCGAAACAGACACTTGTTTTTGCACGTCTTAATTTCCAAATGTAACAAAGTAGTCTTATCAATTGTAATAACAAGTTTTCTTTCACTCACTAGTCGTTTGCATTTTAAGATGATGACATGTCTCAATTCTGTGTTGCATATGAGTTTCAGTAGCTGTCAATATCTAATTGGATTACAGGCGCTTCATAAGTAAAATGGTTAGACGATTTCAAACACCTTGAATAGGTTACAATAATCATCCAAAGTTCTCACTCGTTTCGAAGGGTAGTATGTTTAGCGTTATCGCTGGTATAGAGATTGATGAGCTTAAGGATCCCAGAGGTTTACTGACCTGTGTTGCTTATCACGATTTTCTAGCATACTTTTCCACTCAATAAATCTCTATATTCCCAAAAAATTAGCATGTAATGTACTAAAATGTAAGCAGTTAGATTAGAGACTTGGGTTTCGTACCATTTATTTTATTTTAGAAAGTCAGACATCATTAGCTCTGAGGCGAAAGCTTAACTAAGAAAATTTGTTCGAATGTTAAGTTCTGTCATCATGTGGTTGTAATATATTATAAATTGGAATCAGGAATATAGAATACAAATCTTATGGCTCATTGTCTCAACTAATTTCTAATCGACTGTCAAGTAATATCGTGAAGAGTATATTCCAACCTGATTATTTGATACTTCTATTGTTAAGGTCCAGTATCGTATGCACCCCGCTCTTTCAGCCTTTCCAAGCAATGTTTTTTATGAGGGTAGCTTGCAAAATGGAGTGACAGCAGAGGATCGTTGCAAAAAGATCGATTTCCCTTGGCCAAATCCAGACAGGCCTATGTTTTTCTACTGCACATCTGGACAGGAAGAAATATCCGGTAATGGTGTATCATATCTAAATCGAACAGAGGCAGCAACAGTTGAAAAAATCGTCACAAAGTGAGTTAACCAAAGGTTTCTCAATTTGTACTTTTTCTATTTTCGATAAGATATATATAAATGATTTCCCACAAATTTAACTTGCTCTGGTGTATTAAGAACGTTAGTAACTACTGGTTACCGATTTAGACCGAAATAATCCATTTTTCTCACTTCACTAAAACCTACTTTTGCTGTGAACTAGTTGTGGATTTTTATGCCCATTGAGTCGGCTAATACTGTTCACTATGTTTTCTAAAACGATTGATAGCCCATAAGACACTGATTCGTTTCCCAAACTACCAATCAGGAAGACCAGATAAGTATCTCTCATTATTTTGTACTATGTATAGATGTTAAATGATTTTCTTATTTACTTGAAATACAATAGCATAAAGCACTCGTGAATATTTATATGGATAGTATGTATGAAACTAAAGCATTTGTGCCACGGGATTAGGCAGCTAGGTTACTGTAATTTACGCATGGTTAATATAAAATAATAGTTTAGATTTAGGATCATGTAGAAATCACGTGTTTGATGAATACATTTTACAACATATACAAAATCCCTGGAAAATAGCTTCTCAGGGTTTACACTTTTACTTATTCACCTCTTGGCGCCCCTGTTTCAGAAAAATTAGTTGCATGACAATGTGTAAGAGTTAATCCATGATCAATCTGGTTTGTATCCATAAGTTTAGTTTAGAATTCTTCATTGTCCTTTGTATTTATACAACATCATTTTAAGCACAATTCAGTATCACTTACAATTAAACTATCATAAAATACTGTAGAATATTTATTTTACTGTTGGCACAGTTGCCACTAACTGATCAGCTTTTTTTTAAAAAAGTTGATGATAATGCATATCTACGTCCTAGAATGGAATCTCAGTTGTTTTAAGTTTGATGTCGCTTATCATTGTTACAATCAGTTAATTAGTATATTTTGGTATTCATCAATTCGATTTGACCTCTGCTTTAAATTAATTTAAACCTACTGGCCGCTAGCAAGTGTTTCAAGTACAAACTCTGCAATTTGTTCTTTTAATTTTTATTTGTTTATTTACAGGATGCTGAAAATAGGTGTTCATCCGAATACTATTGGTGTGATCACACCTTATGAGGGACAACGTGCATACTTAGCGCATTATCTTCATTATTCTGGTTCCTTAAACGCCAAATTGTACCAAGAAATCGAAATCGCTAGCGTGGATGCTTTCCAGGGACGAGAGAAGGATTATATCATCTTGTCATGTGTCCGAGCAAATGAAAATCAAGGTATTGGTTTTCTCAATGACCCACGCCGTTTGAATGTTGCTCTCACCCGTGCTCGTTACGGATTAATAGTAGTCGGAAATCCAAAGGCTTTGTGCAAGGTAAAGCTTTTATTTTTTTGGAAGTGTATCAATAGTATATTGAATTTATGTTGATAATTGGTGTTTTAGACTGGACCATTCGTTGTCTTAGTGAACAATATGTGTGTGTGTATTCCAGGATTTAATTTTTTAAGAAAATACTCAAATCCTACAACTGTTGCACATCAACCTAGATCACTTATTTATTTAAACACATAAATATTGGTACAATGAAGCACCAGATAAATATGCGCCTCACAAATCTCATTCGATTTGTATGAGGGATGTGATACTGCCCAGGTGCCCAAACTGAAGCAGGTGGTTTTCTTAGGGGGCCACACCCGAAGCCTTTGACCTGAATGTCTGATCCTCAAGGCAGTGGAGCATCGTGAGGAGATGCAGTCCCATGGTAGCCGTTGACCAATGACAGGTTCGTCCGCCATTCGTTCCATCAGGATACTGGAGCCCATGTGCACCATTGGTTTGGAATCAGGGTTTTCCAACTCCCCTAGGTGGATCCTCCACATCCACCAACCCGGTTAAAGCGCCGGACATTCGCTTTTCGTCCTTTCACTTTTGTGAACAACACCGTGGCCACGAGAAGGCAGTGAGTAGGACTTCCCTGGCAGAGGCTATATATTCGCGTGGCCTTATGAGAGTATTTCGAGAGGGAGAGGTGACTCTCCCCACTCTCGGCCGTACCAGGGCATTTGGGGGCACTTGTACATAACAGTCTGAGATCGTGCAGGTAGTTTGACGTACAAAGATGTGATTCATTAAACCTTATAATTGTGAAATTCACCGTGTTGTAGAATTCATTTTCAATGAGAAAGTTGACTTCATATGAATCCTTATCTTTTATTTTAACATGAGTATTTTACTTTCCAGCAACCACTTTGGAACCAGCTGCTACATTTTTACCGTGATCAGCATTTACTCGTGGAGGGACCCTTAAACAATCTAGGTGAATACATGTTACAGTTTCCTAGACCCAAAGTTCCATACACTTTCAAACCTGGTGGGCATTATCTGGCGCAGCTTTCTGCAAATCCCGCTTTATTAAATAGCAGTCAGTTAAATGGGCAATTGAATACGCACCCTGGTAATCAATTTAATTATCTTTCTCATGTTTCAAATTCGTCTCAACCATGTTTCGATAACCCTAATGGACCTACAGCCTTAGTGGCAGCTATGGCGGCGGCAGCCGCTGCGGCTTACTTTGGAGGATCTGGTTCAAATACTCGCCCGAATGTCTCGACCTTAGGATTACATGGGTCCTCAGCACTCAACCAGCCTGGGGCAAGCCATGCTGCAGCTTATGCTGTTGCGGCTGCTGCAGCTGCTCAACACCAATCAAGTCAACCGTATTCTAGTCAAACAAATGGTAGTTCTCACAGTATGCATCAACTACTAAATCAATCATTATTTGACCAGGTTGGGTATATAGGACCAAATCGACAATATGCGGAAGCCAATGCCAGTTCAAGTAAGTAATTCATTGACTAATCTATCATATACATCACCTCAGTTTCCTGTCGATTGCAATGAGAGTTCGAGTGAAATTTTCTCGGCGTTTTGTAATCAACAATTTTACTTATATGAAGCCAATGAATATGGTACTTTCGATTTTCAATTCAACCAGTAAAGTGCAGATTTTCCTGTGGAGTCCTTTGTATTCATAACCGTTTCATGTGATTTTCTGGGGTTTATTGTGTGGATTTTAGTGGTGATGGTACTCACGACGCATTTCTAGAAGCTTGATATGATCATTATGACCTGTTCTTTATATAGGTTTACACTTACCAATCTTTAAATATTAAATAGATGTAGGCTGTTTTATACCTTTTATTAGTAAAACACTCATCCAATAGTTATGCTTTTTCTTGGTCTTCATATTCTTTGAAATTCACTTGATATTTCACATTAATTTTTGATGATCAGCTAGCTTACATTTCAAGTTTTTCACAAAATGTAGTTTCCTAACGACAGCGTGATGTAAGTTCGTATATCGGAGGTCATGTATAATTAAGGACCTGTCTATCGTTCATATTGTTGGCACTACACAGACGTTAAAGTTTAGAAAACTCACGGATTGTCGTAAGTGACATCAAAGTGTTCTTATAAGATAGTTCCTGACAAAGTTCGTCACTACCTCATTCTCCTGTTGGCTTCTTTTTCCCCTCGTTTCATCTAGATCTTCCTATGCCACTCAGCATGTTAATGCCTGCTGGTCGAATATCGAATCCTACCAATGTAGGAAATCCTTTTGGCTCTTCTGGTCATTTTGGCAATGGGAAATATGGTACCAACCTTGGGGCAGCTGCGCCACTTGGTAGATCAATACAAGCTTTAGGTCCACTAAATGTGCATCCCAACTACACTCAATTGAATACGGGAAGTACAAGAGCACCTGGAGGTCCTCTTCCTGGAAATAATGTGCCCGGTTCTGCAGCTCCTCGATATCTTGGAAATGCACGTCGAAATTTACAAGCTAGTTCTCAAAATGCTTCTGTTGGCGCCGCCAAGTCACGTCAAATTGACGGACCCAGTAGTTTGACCAACGTTTCCGTGGAACGCGGTAATCCCAATACTTCCAACTCAGGTGCTGGTCTACTTTCTCAGCCTGGTTTGTCAGAATTTTCTGGAACTCAAGGGACACCTGGTCTTAGCGGCATAGGTGTATTCAGTAGTCAGTCGCGCAATTCAGGACTTTCCGGGTTATCTCAGGTAGTTTAATCTTAGGTTTTATCGATATACATGGTTGCTAGTCATAAGGCTATTTGTTTCGTACATCATTGTGAATAATTATGTATATCTCCTAGCTTTGATTTTCTGTTCACTTACAGGACAAGTTAGTAAATTCTTTTTGATGGCTCATCTCCTTAACCTCAATGCAAACCCTCGTAATGCTTGGTTGAGCAAATATCTTTGGTCTTCTGAATAGCTAATGTTTTTGCGTAGTGCATTTGCACCTTCAATATTTTGTATCGGTTCACTTTCAATCCATGTTCTTTTCTAGGTTTCCTTAGAAGTATTTATTGTCCATATGCAGATAAAAATTCTAATATTCGCTTGATGTTAGTTTATTACAAATCCACTTATTATACCGACTAATCACCGACAGATAAAACATAAGAGCCTTAAAGCAATTATATAAGTTGTTTCATTTATGCTTTCTTTTTGAGGTCAAATATGAAAACTCTAATTTATGTTTGTAGGAGAGCACTTCGTTGGACTTTCGTCTTGGTCAGGGTGCCAGTCAAATGGACAACTTGCTTCTTTCTCAAGATTCTACGTTTCAAGGTGCAACTGTACCTGCGAGCAAAGTAAATTCACAAAGGGGATCAAATCTGTTTGCTACGAGAAGCGAAGATCATACCAGCATAAATTTCGACTCTGGTCTGGTTAATGGGACCGATCTAGAAAACATTGGTGTCTCTCAAAACGCAGTCAGCTGTGCGAGCAGTGGTGCACCGCTCTCGCAGTTTTAGGAATCTCGTCCGGCTTAACTTTGGGCCGCGTATCAGTGATCATCAACGAACATGTTTCTCGAGGGTGTCTGTCTACAGACATCTGCAGCAGCGACGACGGAATAAATCGATTATTCGGAGTGCATCACTTGGAAGTACAAAAAATTAAAAAACCCAACATGCACTCCGAAGATTGCACTACTTGTTTTTAACCTACTGAATATACAAATTCGCATTAATATTTGGTTACAAGGTGTTTACTTTCATTACATAAACCCTTCAATATACAACGCTTTTATTCTAACCTCCTGGTTGCTTTTCAATTTCAAAAGAGTAAGAAAGTGATAATGTTTGAAACTTCTATTTGAGACTACAATTATTTGTCGGTTCGTACAACGCGTTGCTCCAGCCCCGTCCTCCTGTAGTTCGAACGCATCTTCAGATATAAAGCCTTCGTCTCTTCGAGAAACTCAGGGTCTTGTAGGCTGAAATCATGAATTTTTTTGTTTTCTCTTACTATTTTTTGTTGCATTCTAATGCCTTATGAAAGTCCGTCTTGCAGATGTATATCGCTGCCCAGTAGTATGTTTTTGTACAGTTTGACCATCCTGAAAACATAGAATATTTCGTAGTGAACAATACTTACCGTCCCAGAGCTCCGCACATTGTTTAGTTCTCAATCTATCGTGCATAAGCGCAGGTATAAGGCTCTCTTCTTCAACCTTCGTGATTTCGTTGCTTTCAGGGTCACCTGCAGAAAGGTTTGAGTGTCAAAGTTTTAGCAACCAGCTTAACATGCTAAATTACACATTACTTTACATCAAACAGGCTAAAATAATACCTGATACAAATAATAGAATTCCATCTAGCGAGACGAAATTTAAGACTGCTACACCTTGGAACTTAGAGTAATAGTCGTTATAGGGATCTGAGACTGATTGGTCTAACTCCAACAAGCACTGGTTTGCACAGCTCAATAGATTGGTGGTCACATATCTATTACGATTAAGCGAAATACCTTGCCATTGTTGTTGTAGAGTAATTGCTAAAGTAATGTGACCACCCGGTAAACAAAGTTGGAGCTCGATCACTAGGTAATAGCTTCAGATCAATTGGAGGGGTAATTTAATTAAGGAGTGGGGTGGATCCAATGGGGTACGGTGTGAGGTGAGAAAAACCAGGATAGCCAAACTTTGAATTTACCGATTGCAGGTCTCAACTATGGATGCGGGTCTTCCGGTAGAATTTGGTGGCGAACGAGGGGTGATACGGCCGGTTCCTATCGCCTCAATACATGTTTCTTCAAGTCTCAAACGTTGTGTTGCCGTGTCTTATTTTGTTATAACTATGGAGGATTTTCTCGTTATGTCTTCAAGCATGCGTCTCACCCTACATTGTTCCTAAATATGATATACCTACTCTTGTTATGCACCAGTGATAAATCGCACAATAAACAGAGTATGTAATTTTGTGTATGAGTTTTATCTTCGACTTACCTAGGCCCAAAGGGCCGCTTACTTCTTCAGATGGGATCAAGGCGAATTCTACACTTTGACGTTTGGAGAATACGGTGCCCATTCTCAGCAGTCGTCTATTGTTTTGCTTCCTGAGAATTGTGGGATATAAGGCAACTATGGTTGGAAACTGCAGCAGTTTGTTACCATCTAATCTATCGGAAATGGACAAATATACTGAAAAATTCAGCAACTCTTAAAAACAGTAGATGTAAAGTGTTTTTGCATACAAGTCTGGATCCAGGGTTAGTGCTTTTTCACGAACATCTAAGTCGAATCACTCAATATTAAGGAGATTTGCAATTGTTAACAAGGCTTATTACCTTACTTGAGGTCTCCAACTTGGTTACATAGTTTAACAATGACGCAGGGCTGGTGAATGCCTTTTTTATATCAATGTGTAGCCTATAGTTCTTCGCATGAATGGATGGTGTCGTTTGATAATGGGGAAATCACTGGATTTTAGCTGCGCTGCACTTTCTGAAGCCGGAAAATTTGCGAATTGCTGGGTCTGTTTAAGTGGGACATAAACTTTTTTGTAATTTGTCGATAAAGGGCAAGAATAGATCCCAAGTGTTTTCCATGGAACTTGGGGCTTATTGAGTCTGTTCCAAGTCCTTTACTTTTTGTACATTAGGACCGCTGCCCAACCCTGTGGGTCTTAAGACGGACATCTATTAGGTTGAATGTTCACCATAATATGTACAACCCTATTACATTGAGCGGTTAACTTGATGACACTGGTTCTGGGCTTATCCCTTCATCGAGAAGATGGTCATGAATGAAGACCATTCCAAAATGAAACCATGACTTCTGCTTTGTTTTCCTCTACACTTGAGATGCACTCCCTTTAGTGATTAGATTGGGAGTCCATGGGCGCGTTCTGGTCCTGTATTTGATGTATGAATATAACCGTCTTGACTGTCTGGTTACAGATTGTCCCAAATGGCTTCCAGATTTCTGCTGAGCTGCACGGACTGTGTTTATACACTTACCTCGGATCCACTTGTACCGCTCTATTTCGTTTGCTATATCAGGGCTGACGGCGACATTCTAACAATTTTGATTTTGTCTTAGTAAACATCGAACCTGTCGGTCTAATCAGGGGCTGTCGTGTTTCTTTAATTTTTTGGGACTGCCCAGGATATACATGGTTGTGTAACTGCCGTAGTCGGCTCCATGCCTCTTCTCACTGATGCATCCGATTCGATTTTCCCATCGGTCGAGGCCTCAGAGTTCATCGCATTTGTGTTTGTCTTCTATCTGTTATTTTATGGTACGATGTGGACTGTTTCGTGCGTGCCATGACTGTGAACATTTGTAAAATATTCAGCCAAATGTGGCTGTGAATAAGGGAGATAGTAAATGGTAGACAGGGCATAATTCAAGAATAGTAAATCATATTACAATAGTTTATATGTCAAAACAAAGCTCATAATAAGGAGGACATGAATATGAATAGTTTAGTTATTTAGCAATTATACGACAAGAAAATATATGCATAGTATTAATTCATAAATGGATTCCAAGGTTAACATTCACTGTTCTTATCGGGATATAACAATTTGTTAGGATGAGCCAACGCATCTGCTTGACAAACCACAGCAGCAATGAACCTGACTAGGATAACCGCTTCATTACTCCTTCCTATAGGTGGAAACTACTAACATCAACATCGTGAGTTAGAAATAAGTTCAGGAGAGAAGAGTGCTGCAGATCATCTACTAATAGGACCATAGTGACCAGGACTAAAGCGAGGGGAACTGGAGTCCCTAGTAATTTGTTATCAAACGATTGTTCTAATGATCTTATGCTATGATAGTGGGGTCGACGAAGTCGCCTACTCTAATACTTCAGCAATCGGCTTGATCGGGATGTATGTATGTACATCGGTTCAAGTTGCCACACCCGTTAGCACACCGAAATGAAGTTGTCAAGCCGAATCCCAGAATAGTAGAGGTAGTAACAGAAAACGTTGGGTATCGAATACACGACTCGAAAAGAAAGACCGTTGCTGCTACCTTGACGTGGTGGTCGGGCTTGCCTATCGTGATGAAGCAATCGAGCTATGCTGGCTGGAACAATCGTTCCTCGAGGTTCTACCATGCCAGACAGGTCGGTTGAAGAGCGCTGAGACTAAAAGCAGCAAACCCAAGGTCCGAAGTCGTACTGCCGACTGTACAGAGGTGTGACAGCAGTAAGGTGTTTTCTTCAGACAACCAGCATGACAGCGATGCTGCTTTCCCACAAGAAGGGGTGAGGTTAGAAAAGGTCGACCCCAAAAATGCACACCTCGCCTTATCCCACGGATATCCGTCTCCGGCGGTAAGGTTTTTTTGAAGAACGGAGCTAACACAAAAACTACCCACAAAAAGGTCGTGTGTGACCGACCTCAAGCAGTTGTGCCTTGGGCACTGCGGTCACGCTCTCAGGTCATTAAAACCACTTCTAACCCAATTTCCTTTTCAGGTAACCCCAGAAGAACCCTTCCACGGTGTGGGCAACCGGGAAGTGATAACTGCCCTCATACCTCTAACAGCACTCAAGACTGACTGATATGTCAGTGAAATAAAAACAAAAATGTCATTATGAGGTTACAATCCCAGGATTTACGAGAAGGCGAAGAATGGATGCACCTGCGCCATTTCAAACGATTTTTAGCCATATCATTTGGAGTCTTTAATCACGGGTTACGATAATCACGTGGAAGTTTCAGACTACTGCACCAGGAAACATAGCTCGTTGAGGTAGGCGGTAAAGATTTACTGCCTCGTCAATCGACTTCTCATATTTACCTCATACTCTTTCTGATCCAGACATTGCTTACTCCGTAGTCCTAAAATACGCGAGCGACAGGCGGTTGCCGTTATCTGTTTGCTGAGCCGCAACACCGTAAGACCCGTCCACGTGATTTAGTTTACCTACTTGAGCATTAAAATCATCTGCCACCATGACTACATCAGGGCGCTCATCTTTTTGAAGGAGGTTGGATAGTTTCCTGCAAAATTCGTCTTTAACTTCGTTCGAATTGGAATCAGTAGGAGTGCAAGCACAGACAACTAAAAAATTAGCGGAGGTCCCTATCATTTTGAGTTCTTACTGTCCCGTTTAGTTAAACAGTGCGCAAGCGACTGTCTATTGGGATCCAGTCCAACAGAGCAAGTTCTGCTTTAGAACGTAATGCTATACCTACACCAGAGAGGCTGTGGGAAGTAGCAGTGGGATATCCAGATACTAGAAGGTCAAATTGTACCACTTGAGGTTAAATGAATGACTGCATTTGGATCTGTAAGCGCAATTTAAGACAACATACATCGATAGCGCCAGATTCTGGAGTTCTAGCTAAAGGAGCGTGTTTCCCTACCTGGCACATATTTCGAACATTAAAAGCTACAACTTGTAGCTTAGAGCGTGGTTTCAGGAAACCAGAAATTACAGTTTGTGAACTCAAACAATTAGCATTGGTGGTGCGTGGCGACAAAGATAAATTAGGGTTAGCCATGGAAATGGAATAAATATTAAGAGATAAAGAAAGGATTCGATCGCCAACAAGGTGATCTCGGGTGCTGACAGAGGTATGAGTGCGATTGTCACTCCTCGGTTGCCAACACCTTGGAAAGATATTTGTTCAAGGACCTAAAGAAGAAGCTGAATTAATGATGGTCATAGAGATCAAGTTGCGTGACCGTTGAACCCAAAGGACAAATGCTGAAGGCCGGTGACGCACGGCCATTTTATGGGAAGTTTTTGATGTGTTAGTTGTGTAAGTCGAAAGGTCCTACGGTTGGAGACGAAGATCCGTGGGCTATAGTGTAGTGTGACGTCTTTAGGGTCTGCAGCATCTCTGCAGATGCTGGTTGCCGAAGGCAACACCATACTGTTGCCACACGTCTATACAATCAGCCAGTTTTTCACTTTATCTTGTTTCTTAGTCAAATCTTCTAAAGTGAGCATGTCAATCTTCGTTGTATTGTGTGACTTTCTGAGGCTCAATCCGTCGGTTCAAACTTTTTAGTGCTCCTTTTGATTTTTTTCTTCTTTGACCTGTTTTTCTCTACTTTTGTAGCTTCCTCTGCATCAGTATGCTTACCAACTACTGAGTTTCGAGATCACATTCTGGTCGTCTTATTCAGATCTGGGACTGAATTGATTGAATCCTCGAGATCTGAAAATTACCCCCATGTCATCTACACCTTTCTGTTCACTGAGGGAGGCTTTCTAGATGTATTCAGGAGACTAATCGCCTCGAGAATCAGCAGAGATCTTATAGAACAATTTGTTTCGTACAGTCAACATGATTGTGGCTCATAAAAACTTGTATGCAACAGGAGTGAGTCCGGCTTACACACTATGATGCCAGTTGTTGCAGTTATCATACTGAATCCCATCCTCGACCAAAAAGAAGCATGTGGATCCATTCAATTGATGTTTTTCCTGGATTATTTATTTTAGGAAGTAGACTCAAACAGAAATAAAGCATTGTAAACACTGAGAAAAGACAAAACATAGTATAAAATAATGTTTCTGTAACCATTAAAATGATAAACAATGAACTCAAGAAACGATTTTCTGTATCCTACTGACAAAAGAATACGAGAAACCTGTTTCACAGGTGAACTGTATAATCCACCAAGTGGAAGTCACTTGATAAGTTTTCTGCAATCTCAAAAAGAGTATGGTCAAAATCTGATATGAAAATGACATTATGCAGAAACCAGTACTTTTACGGTATTTTAACTGATAATTTAATTTAAATAAGTATAAACAGAAGTTTTTGCATGTTAGCAACAGTTGAAAATATGATTTATTTGGTAAAAAAAATAACGCCACCACTTCTGAATGGTGCATTGTAAAGCATTTTGGATCTAATATATCCTCTCTTTTCTGCAAGATTAGGATAACTCAGACATAACAGACGGCGAGACTATGATTTATGGACGAACCAATCAGGTATAAGATGACAGGTCTCGGACTTTCGCAAAATTCACTTATCTATTTGCATAAATAGAGTCTTAGCATTATAGCTGTCAGTTCGTCATGAAAACCTCAAGTATAATTCCTAACCCTAACTATGAACTGTAAATCCTAATTCGAACTCTTCACACAGGTTTATGACCCTCGTTTGAAACTAGTTATGTGGACACCCTCAAGGTCACTCTAGAGTCGCTCAAAGGCCGTCCATAAATTATAGTCTCACTTTAGATTCTACTATTCGAAAAATTGGTGTCCGAAACTTAGGTTATTTAAAGAAAGGATGTCCGACAATAGGCTTATCAAAAAAGAATACTGTAGGCCATTGGGTCTTTCTCTTATCGCACAATCCTGGGTCTGAGATCAAACCTAATATGTCAACTTCCAGGTACGGAGGCCTGTTAGGAAAAAGCTTCTATTTCATCCAAGACCATTTGAGCCCAAACCTCTCTGTCAACTACAGATTTAATACTATTTTGATTTCGAGTTGTTTTTTAACCAAACACTGTCTTTTCGTTAGCTAAAAAGTACTCCAAGATCGTTCATAAACTTCAATCAAGCAGCTGTTAGCTTCTTATTAAGAATAAAAACAGCGCTATTTAATGAAACCGGTAAACTTCAACCTAAATACTTTGTTTTATAAGCAATATTTATTGATGTTAGACGTGAAATGTTAGTACATTTAGTGTCACACCAAACTAACCACGACATAGGAGGACCCAACCTGCAAAGTAACGTCACTTACATAAAGTGCGCTTACAAATGTTTCAAATGGTTGTGGACGGAATAGTAGAAGCTTTCGCTTAACGGGGTTTCGTGTCTAGTAGCAGTGGATCTCAAATACCTGGAGGCAGGAACCTAGGTCATTAACGATAGAGGAAAAAAATAAATTCGTAATTCATAATAATATGTTATCCTTAGTCTTTAAGAATAAGTCAAGTTTCCTCTTATAGGACTTCAGTAATAAGGATAGTAGGTTAATGAACCTGTGTTAATCCTGACAGATTGCCTTCCAGTGAAGGTCCAGCTTCTTTTTGAAAATGTTCACTGATGGTGCTGATACCACTTGTTCTGGTAAAACGTTCCAGTCATTGACCACTCGATGAGATAAACGGGACCCCACCTTTAGTTCATTAGATCGCGGTTTCAGAACCTTCTTGCTATGACCTCGGAGATTATTAGTGCTGGAGGGAGCAAAAAGATAAGACATATTAACACCCAGATCATAATTAAACATACGAAATGACAGTATAAGGTCACCTCGCGTCCTACGATAAGATAAGGGGAAAAGGTTTAGACGTTTTAAACGCTCATCGTAAGGGAGTTTAGAAAGACCCTTTACTAATTTTGTCCCTACACGCTGGACAAGCTCAAGCCATTTAGAATCCTTTATCAGACAAGGGCTAGCTGCTTGGATACAGTATTCTAAGTGTGGCCTTACATAGGTGGGATATAAAATTCGAAACATATCCTCGTCAAGGCATTTAAAAGCTCTGCGAAGCGACCATAGCGCGCGATAGCCTTTGGAAGCAACCGCATTGCACTGCGTAGTCGTTTTCAGGTCGTGACTTATAGTCACTCCTAAGTCTTTGTGCGTATGAACGCGTGGCAGAGATGTACCATTAATTGTATAGTGGTAACTAATATCGTGCCCGATGTGCATGAACACGTTCTTCCTGGAATTAACTTCCAGGCCCCAATCATGAGCCCACCTAACTAATTCGTCTAAATCAGCTTGCAGATAACAACGATTAGTCTCATTTCTTATTGTTCTCCAAATTTTAACATCATCCGCAAACAATAACGTCGACGACTTAAGTAATAAAGGTAGTTCATTAATATACAGAAAGAAAAGGTAAAGGGCCTAAGATGGTGCCTTGGGGTACACCTCTTTTGACCGGTTTCCATTCGGATAGCGTTCCATTGACCCTTACTCTCTGTCTGCGGTCACATAAGAAGCTTCCTATCCATTCCTGTATAGCACCTGTTATTCCAAAGCTCGAGGGCTTTTGCATAAGACCTAAGTGTGAAACCTTATCAAACGCTTTGATAAGATCTATGAATATCACGTCGACAGACAGGCCGTTGACTAGGGCAGCTGCCTAATCCTCTCTCGCAATGAGTAAGTTAGTCAAGCATGAATGCTTGTTACGAAACCCATGTTGCTCAGGAGTTAACAGATTGTACGAATCTATGTGACTCAGTAGCTTAGCCCGAATTAATTTTTCAAGTAACTTAACTACTATACTGGTCAGGCTAACAGGCCGGTAGTTAGATACGATCCGTCTCTGACCATCCTTAAATATAGAACTAACTATGGCGTCTTTTGAGTCTCTAGGTAGTTGAGCCTGTAAAGGGACATGTTGAAGAGAATCGTGAGCGGTCTTGAGATAATGTCCGCAAGCGATGAGAGCAGACGTGGGTGTAACCCATCGGGGCCCGGTATCTTACAAGGTTTTAGGTTAGTTATCAAAGGAAGAACAATATCCTCTGTCACGTGCAAAGGTCCTATGGCTGGTATCTAATTGTCAACGGGACAAGTAGTTGTAACACTACACGTAGAGTAGACTTCACTGAAATAGTTTGCAAATGCCTCAGCTTTCGCCAGATCGGATTCAGCTAGTAAATCTAAACTTTCGTTTAACAGTAACAGGGGGATACCATCACTACGTTTCGTTCGCCTTTTAACATACGAAAACAGTCACTTCGGACAGGTACGGCTGTCATATGCCAACTGTCGTTCGTAAGCCGTGCTGGATTTAGCTATGGTCTTTTTACATATATTCCGGATTTTTTTATATTCGCACTTAAATGATGCCTGACCTGTTGTATTATTATTATTTATTTAAACACAGAAATATTGGTACAAGGAAGCACCAGATAAGTATGCGCCTCACAAATCTCATTCGATTTGTGTGAGGGCTGTGATACTGTCTAGGTGCCCAAACCGAGGCAGGTGGTTTTCTTAGGGGACCACACCCGGAGCCTTTGACCTAAAGGTCTGATCCACAAGGCAGTGAAGCATCGTGAGGAGATGCAGTCCCATGGTAGCCGGTGATCAACAGTTGGTTCATACGTCATTCGTTCCTTCAGGATCCTGGAGCCCATGTGCACCATTGGTTTGGAATCAGGGTTTTTTAACTTCCCTAGGTGGACTCGCCTTGTCCACGAACCCTGTTAAAGCGCCGGACATTTGCTTTTCGTCCTCTCACCTTTGTGAACAACACCTTCGCCACGAGAAGGCAGTGAGTAGGACTTCCCTGGCAGAGGCTATATATTCGCGTGGCCTTATGAGAGTATTTCGAGAGGGAGAGGTGACTCTCCCCACTCTCGACCGTACCAGGGCATTTGGGGCAAGAATAAGTCCCAGAAATGTTTCCTACGCTCAAATTTACCGAGTACTAATTTCAGGATCCTTCTCTGTTGGGTTTCGCCTCCAACATATTTACCGAGTCTGATGACTTTCGAGATATGTACCCCTGGGACCTCATCGGGCAGTATATTTTTGATGAGAGATCCCACTAACTGCAGGTCGTGGGCATATCTCTTAGCGGGAAAGGTGTCTTCCGATTCTTCCAAGTTCCAGATGATTACACTAGGCACCTGTTTAACATCCTTAAAAGTCGTGTTCACAGCCTTCGACCGTGATGTCAGATCCTGCCGGTTAGCTACCGGCTTCTTACTGTTAGCTTTCTTTATAACAGTGTCATGTGGGTCGAGCGAGTGACTCACAACAACATTTGGTGAAGTTAAACTGTTCCCATCCACAACAGTACTAAATATTTTTTACATTTGGACTTGAGCGGAGTTGCCTGATGCACAGGACGTGAGTCCAACGAGGACTTATCGACTATACGCGCGCTTTCTTTGGGTATTTTTCCGTCTCTTTTACGTTTCCGCGTAATCCATTTTCAACTAGTCTCAGCATCCAGATTGGAACTATTCTGGACGATAGAGATTCTAGCCGGGTCATCAGTCGCTGCTAAAGCAACTTGTCCCTCAGTAATTAATGACATGTCTTTCATTGGTTGTATCGTGGTAGAAATTTTTGCTTCGTGTTGCGAAATTGGGTGTCTGGTACTCGCCATGGCAGCATTTACGACACTGATACAATCTTCGTTATCAGTATCCATGTTGCCGGCACGGACTATGTCGACCTTTTTAGCTAACGCTAGAAGGCTAATGGCTTCGTGAATGAGTAATGTCTTGCTTGAGCAGCAAAACACACAGAGCCAATGAGAATTGGTTTTGGAGCACCTTTTATAGGCAGCAGGGCTTAAGCGGGTGCACATTTTGTGAAACCACTTCTTACATTCGTCACATTGCATCCCTTCTTCCACGGGGAATAAGCAATATGACTACCCACACTTGTGTGCAGAGCCGACCATCTTAGAATGAAGAAAAATGATAAGCAAGGTAGATATGTTAGACAAATCACAACCTTAATAAAATAAACAAGCCGCAGTCGACCAAGAATGCTTTGATGCAGTACACACAAAAGCAGGATCAAAACACACAAATACAATGTCACGATAACTGAAATAAATTCAATTAAAGTGTAAACAGTAGTTTTGATACGTAATTTACGATCAAAACAGTGAATTTAACTCAACTAGAAACAATACCACTGTCCTTCTAAATAGCACGCGGAAAGAGCCTTCTGGGAAGTCACTTGGACTAGCTCAGTCGGCAGCGAATTCCAGCATTTGACTACTCTTAAGGAGTAGGAGTTGTGTCTACAGTCCGTTCTGCTATGTTGGGTCTCCAGTTTCTGGGTGTTACCCCCTAAGTTAGTATTGTGACTAAGATTAAGTAGATGTCTAAGGGGATGACCAGAAGTGTTAATGATACTGTAAGTCATAAGAGGGTCACCTCTAAGACGCCTATACTCTAACGGGTAAGGGTTAAGTGATTGGAGGCGCTAATTATAAGGTTAATTGTGACATTTTTATTCGGTGATTTTTTTGTAACAACAAAATAAAGATCACATATTCTTCCTGTTTGTCACACTTTATATGTAAACACATTTATATTCAATATCTACAGTTTCTCTTTATCGATGGTAGAGAAACATATGTATTTGTTTGGTTATATATAACATTACTTCACTACTGCGATTCTTAAAATATAAACGTTGTATCAGCCGTTTATTCTTCTGCTTTAATGGCCACGGCCCTTGATTGAAGATTATAATAGTGTTATAACATCCTTTTAGGCCTTCCCACACGACGCTAGAGCTTGAGCCGGGATCATTATTGAATAATACTACTGGATTTAATCTTCATTCTGCAGTTGGTGCCATCACGTGCAGAGGAACCTTTGTCAATCAAGTGAATTTATTTGTGGTTATCTCAGAAAGCAGCTTACAAGTAACATTCATTTCGTAACACTGTTATCATTTTGTTGCTCAATATACCCTTTTATAATTTAACTGTAATTTGTTAACTATTGCGTTACTCATAGACATATGCTTAGTTTTGTAGTGTTATTTCCTTTGATATATTGTTGATAACTTTGCGAATTGTTATATTTTGACTTAGCTCAACTTAGATCAACCACAGGTTTGAACTTGAGCCACCGAACTGAATTCGTGGCTCAACGCTGGAAACGTTCCAGAGTGTCCCTATCCTTTTTCAGAGGGGGAGGAAATACTATGTCTCCGTACTCTAGATGCGGAAGATAAAACTGTTGAGGATTGTGTGAAAAGTTCTACCATCAAAACTGGCCAGGAATGCACTTCAACGTTACCAGTGCAAGGTTTGCTCAAAAGGCGTTTTTGTCACAGTTAGAGTAAGACTACAGGTAGTACGGTACCAACTCTCCCTAATATGTTTCGACTTGAGATACCTCCGTTGTCGTCTGCCCAACTTTGAAGTCGAATCAGATCCTACTGAAGTGCTAGTATATCCTTTTGGTTACGTATCTCTCTCTCCAAAGTTTCACATCATCAGCAAAAAGCAATAAGTCAGTCGTTTATATAAATCAAGAAGAGAAGAGGTCTTAGAATTGAGTCATAGGGGACCCCACTCTATAGCCTGAGAG